GTACTACTTGAGGTCTTTTTAGCACAGCGTTGTGGTGTAGTCTTCCGGTGAGGCTGACATCGGGCACGACACTTCTTGGAGTTAAATTTGCATCGTGCTCGCTCTCGATCACGCCTACAGGCTACGCCAACACTCGCTAAGAGAACTGCGCTGGTGCACTCCCCGACCACCTCTGACGAAAAAATGGCTGCCTACCCAGAGTGCATAGCGTCGCCACTGTTCATGCAGGCTCCCTATACCTGCAAAAGAGCGGCGTTTGTATAGGTGCCAGTTTAAGTGACCTGTATTTAGTTCACGCAGGCAGGACCATTTCTAGCCTTCTCGAAGGTAGCAATGTCATCAGGGTTTTTAGATTCGTAGATAAATTTTGAGTTCATGTAAACAAACAGTTCATGTGCACCGACCAAGTCGTTACTAACACCTTGACAACCTTTAGGCATGTTTTATCTCCCTTAATAGTTGATTGATTGATTGATTTATGGGGTTTAATGTCCCAAAACCACCACAAGATTAGAGACGAGGAGTGGAGGGCTCCCAAAATTTTGACCACCTGGGGTTCTTTATTGTGCACCCAAATCTGAGCACACGAGCCTACAGCATTTTCGTCTCCATCGGAAACGCAGCTGCCACAGCCGGGATTTGATCCCGCGACCTGCGGGTCAGCGGCTGAGTACCTTAGCCACTGGACCACCGCGGCGGAGCACCCCTTAATAGTGACCCATAAACTCTTATCGATTCGACTACAGTTAAACCTGCTTATAACGAACTTCCATATCGCAAATTCCTCGATATAACAAAGTTTTTCTATTCCCTGCCGGTGCTCCATAGAAGCACATGTATTAACGACCTCTATGTAACAAAGTAACAGCGGGAGACAACCTTGATATAATAAATTTTCCCCGCGGACAATCAAGGAATTTCACCCCGGGTTTTGGCATTTAGGTATGAGCATGCATCTTCCGCGGGTGCCCCGCCGTTGCCGAGGCGAGAAGCGGCGGCGGCACACACTGCGCACCAGGCGAGCGAGAGGCGGGCCTGCGCCCCACGAGCCAGCATTGAAGCTCTGCTTGCAGCTGCGGGCACATGCGTAGATGTGCCCCCCTCCCCTCCCCTGCCCGCGTTGGCAGTGCCACGCTTTTAGTTAGCATCACATATGTGGGGCCGCGTTGCATATGAAGGGCCCTTTGCCGAATAGTTGTCCGCTGTATCCGTGTATGTGTCGTTCGCTCTTCTTTTTCGACACCGTGCGCACGTGCATGGTTTCACTGCGCGAGCATGGTGCGGACAACAATGTCGTCACCACTGAGAAGATGTAAGGTCAGACACAGGTTGACTTGTCACGCACTTTTGTCTTGCGCCGTGAGTTCGCAGGCTCATAGCTTTCGAGATTAGCCGATTAGTTTTGGCAACAACACGACGACGTATTGAATGCGATGCAACGAACACAATAGCGAAAAATTGTAATGTTATACGAACTAAGGCTGGCAGCCAACTATTTTGGATCCGATATCACAGAACTCCTACAAAACGCTGATGTGAGCAAATACGGCCGCACTGTGAAGTGCCTTTTTTCACCGTCCTTTGGCGTTGAAACCGCCCTAATGCTTGCAGAGATTTTCATGCTCGTTCAAGATGGGTGATTTTCTTTCTGTTTGAGCATTCGACAGCAGTTAAAAGACGCGGGGGATGTTATCTTGTACACCTTTCAGGCGATAGAGATGGGCCAACTCATTTGATCTTCGCTTCAGTTGCACTCGTGCGCTTTTACCCGCTCATGAAAGTTACGACGCGCGAGGCATGTTATCAATTTCGACTTGTTATGGAACATGGCGGCGACGGAAAAACCCGCTGAGAGATATTGCAATAATAACGCAGTTTTTACAGCTAAATAAGCATCTCAGGTTAGCACTGCCTTCAGTCCCCGTCTGCTTAATTTGTGCATTTATTTTCCTAATTTTCCAGTGGCCTGCCATGTCCCTATTCTTACGTAGCAAAGGATTCCTTGCAGTTCAAGCATCATAGCCACATTGAGAAGTTACAGTTTGCAAGATGGAATGCATTTGGACCATTTAGAGGAGAATGGGCCCAGAACTGCAGAGGCATCAAGCTTTGTCTCAGGAAATCTATATCTGGTCGGGGACGTCTTAATGGTGTCATCATTGCCAAGCACTAAAGCTATTACAGTTGGGCCATTAAAATAAATAAAACCAGCTTGGAGCACATGCGAAAAGCTGTCCGGTCCACATATTTTCACATGGCATCAAAGGATAACAATCAATCTCATGGTCTGCTCGAAGGACACCAAAACTTGGTGTAAATTCAAAGAAGCCCAGTCAAATCGTGAACCATTCGTTCATAAAAAACAACTTCCAGCATCTGTTATTGAGGTGGTTAAACCAAATTGTCTGGAACTAGCTCATGCAGAATTGCTTGCTAAATGCCTCCGTGGGAAAACTCAAAACCATAATGAGTCGAATTGTTGTGTGGAAGCACGCTCCAAAAGAATGTTTTTTCTTGGGCACTAAACACAACAAATATGCACTCTTGATGCTTTGTTAACTTTTAATGATAGCAATATAGCCCGTGTGAATGTGCTGAACTATTTTGAAATTTCGCCAGGCCACTGCACAGTGCAAGGCCTATGCAAACTTGAACTACGTCGACAGTACTGTGCTGACAAGGGCTGCACAGCAGACGACAAATGAGGCTTGCCAGGCAAAAAGTTTCAAGACAAAAAGAAAAAATGATGTTGGTGATAAATATCTGACTTGTGCCTATTGAACGGGTCCGTCATATTGCTGTTATTTCATACATTTTAAATAATGTTTTTCAACTTAAGTGTGATTATCTCAAAACGTGCTTTTTTCTTGGTTCCTTTTCCTCAGCAACCAAATTATCTATGATCATAGATTTTGGCCAGTATTTAGGCAACAAAATAGGAAATATGCTGAAGTAGAATTGTGTTGCGAGAAAGTGCTCTTCTGGCACACAACATCTAATAGCTTTATCGAGTGATAATGAGCATTTTCAGTGCTAAATCTGCTTCAGTAAAAAGAGGAATGACTCATGATCACAATGATAGTAAAATATTTACTGTAGCTTTCATGGTTATGGAGAAAAAGGCACTAAAACTTGGCCTATAATACATGGCAGGGCTTACCCTGTTCCTTTAAGTGGCGACTATGGCATTTGTTTTATTATTAAAAAAACAAAACTTGACAATGCCTGCAAGAACAGCACGTGGTTTCAGTTTTCGAATTTCAACGGCACTACTATCGCCATTGTTTCCACCAACCAGTGTTGTGGACATTCATAAAGTTCTGTTTTAGAAATTTCTACTCACTTTCCAAAGAAAGCACTGCAAGGTTGGACACTTCAGACAGTATGGTTTTTATTGAAATATAAAATCAAAAAGTGATGGATAGTAGAGGGTCCCTTTAATGAGGATAAAATCTACAAAAATTACCACAAATAATGTCTTCCCGCACTTGTTTCAGCAAAAGGCATCCAACAAGGATGCATAGAACTATCCTCATCAGCACACAATGAAAAATTACTCACGTGTCTGCTGGAGAGACATCTGCATGGCATATGCAATTTGCTCATCCTCTGTCATTGCTGAGAAGTCTGGCAAGCTGGCAGTTGTAGTTGGAGGAGCTGGATCTGTTTCCATAGACATAGCTAGGGCTCTTTCCAGCAGCCGTACCTCACTCGAGCCAGCTGTGAACATGGAATACCATATTTACTCACGTAATGAATGCACTCGCATAATAAACGCACCCCCAACTTCAGTCAACAAAATTTGTTTTTTTTTTTTTTAAATTCCCCCGCGTAATAAATGCACCCTCTACATTCATATGCTGCAATTTCTTGCTTGCTGCTTCCATACTTGGTGTATCTCTTTCGTGTTTTATTATAATGCCAACCCCCTTTGGCCACCTCGGCTCGCTCCCTCCCCACCTTTGCCCACTGCCGCGCGCTGTATTGTTTTTCTTTCTATTTGTGTGTGGTACGTCCCCAGTCTTTTTTAATTATCCATGCGCAATAGCGTGGTTCATGAATGATGCAAGTGTAGAGGCATCGCAGCTGATAACCACACAGCGAGCAAAGGTCACGAAACTGCCCACCCCAACTGACGGTCACTCCCAGCAAATAGGAAACTTGAAGGCCCAACCACATGCATGCAATTTTCAAGCGGCGACGACAGGATTTGCTGTCGCCATGGCTGTTGCAAAGGGCCATTCGACGCAGGCTTCTGAAAAACCAGAAGCAAGTCGCTTTTCATCCAGAAGGGATAATGATGAATTCTGTAACATGGTAGCACCCCCATTCTGGCTTCGGTTGCAATTGGCTTTTCGTGCTTGTTATCCACATACACTTCAAGGAACGCATGACATAGGCTACCTTTTCTACAGTAACTTCTCATGTGAACAGCGAGGCGGCGGTCGTGCTCCGACAGTAATCTTGTTATCGGTGGTTCATTAGGATGTTTCGGTGGTACCTGGCTGCAATGTTGGTTACTTGCTACAATGCCAATGGCGTCGTCGTGCAAGGTTGCCGCAAAGTTGGCAAAGTGCGTTGAGTGCACGCTTCTGGGCGCCCCTCGAGATCACAGCAGATACCGCCGTTTCGGTTAAATCATTGAGAGGAAAGATCACCGCGAAATGCTTTTATGACATACGCGGGGACAGCTTGCAGAAGATACCGTATTTACTCGTGTAATAAACACAGTTTTTCCCAAAAAAAATCGGAGGAAAGTTGGGGGTGCGTTTATTATGCGGGGTAAACTTTATGAGAACTTTTTTTGGAGGAGCAAAAAATGTGGTAATGAAAAAACAAGTTATGTCGCATAGCCTATTGCAATCGACTTACGCGTACACTGTTTGGAAACGGCTTCTTTGTTTCACTTAACTTATCGTCGATGGTTGATGGCGCTATCTTCTGCAAGCTATCCCCAGGCCGCCCGCACACGCCATAAAAGCGTTTTGCGGCTATCTTTTCTCGCAATCGTTTAGACCGCAACAGTGGTATTTGCTGTAATCTCGGGAAGTGCCCAAAAGCATGCGCTATGTGGCATGACGACGCACTTGGCCAACTTCACAGCCGCCTCACACGATGGTCGTGACGACGCTGTCAACATTGTAGCAAGTAAACATTGCAGGAAGCTCCCCCCAAAGCCTCAAAACAAACCGTCGATAACAAGATTAACGATAAAATACGACCGCCGCCTTGCTTCTGCATAAGTGTGGATAACAAGCGAAACGGGAATCAGGGGTGCTACAGTGTTGCAGAAATCATCACAATCTTTTCTGGACAACAAGCGATTTTCTCTGGTTTTCCAAAAACCTGCGACGCGATGGTGACGACTGACCCTTCACGACAACAAATCCTGCCGTCGTCGCTCATAAATCACTTGCATGTGGTTGGAATTTTTTGTATTCGCAGGAAGCGACAGTGAACTGGCGCGGGCAGTTTCATGACCTTCGCTTGCTGTGTGCTTATCAGGCGCGATGTCTCTACACTCATACCGTTCATGAGCCCCGGCACAGATAAGACAGGAGACGTGTGGGGTATCGGAAAACGATACCGCACACGAGTAAAGGGGGGGAGGGAGCGAGCGAGCCGAAGTGGCCGGGGGGGGGGGGGTCTGCAAAATAATAAACGAAAGAAATCCAACAGGTGAGGAGGCACCAGGCCAGGTGCCGGTTAGCGGTTCTGCGGCGAATGAATGTAGGGGGCGAGTTTATTATGCGGGGGGAAAAAACAAATTTTGATGACTGAAGTTGGGAGTGCGTTCATTATGCGAGTAAATACGGTAGTGCCATCAACCACCGAAAATGAGTCAAGTGCAACAAAGTTGGGAGTGCGTTCATTATGCGAGTAAATACGGTAGTGCCATCAACCACCGAAAATGAGTCAAGTGCAACAAAGAAGCTGTTCCCCTACACTGGTCGCGTATGTCAAAGACGAAAGGCGAAGCGACACAACTTTTTTTGTATTACCGTACTTTTTTTGCTCATTCCAAAAAAAGTTTTCGCGAAAATTTCCCCGCATAATAAACGCACCACCAACTTTGCTCCAATTTTTCTAGAAAAAAAAAATGCATTCATTATGCGAGTAAATACAGTAGTTTCAGTGTAAACCTAAAGCCAATACTTGAGGAATGTTCATGTAGCTGAAGCGACAAATAACCTATTGAAAAGATAAGGAACAACATAGTAGAGCAATGACGTAAATGTAAAAACACCAACAAATTCTGTGGGTTCTGTGTAATCACAAGCTTTATGTCATTCTCAACAAAGCTGTAGATAAAAGAGTGCACGAATGCAACACACTGGTGAAATTGCAGCTATTATCTCTCAAGTGTGCTTGAAAATTGGGGGATCCTTAAGCTTCGCCTTTAAACGTTGAATGCGATAGCGAAATCCGGCCCCTAGTGCGCCTTTCAACCGCTAAGTGTAAACTTATTCATATGTTTTGTTACATACACAAGCACGCACACAGTAGATTGGACTAGCGCGCGCTATTATTGCCGAACGGGCTCATTTTCGTCGTGACACTTGAACAAAATGCGTTAAAGGGGCCCTGAAACACTTTTTTAAGTAACCATGAAATGAATTCACTAGAAGAGCTTATTGTCTCACGAATACAACACCGCAAAAATTTTAAAAATTCGTCCAGTGCCAGTGGAGTTGCAAAGGTTTGTCACATGCTGCAATTGCATTATTTCTTCTCTCGTCCCGACCAACGAAAGCGCTGGAAGCTAAGCAGGGTGGGGTGGCAGGGCTAAGAAACTACCGCGCCTCGTGACCCTGAGCACTTTTTTTTTCTTCGAATGCGCGGCTTTTCCAGTGTGATCGTGCGTGCAAGTGTGGACAAGTAGTGGCCTTCCACGGCTATCTCGGTAACTTGATTTTTCGGTCACAACCAACGGGGCCGGCGGCAGGTTTTCTGCAACACGAGCTTTTTAACGCTATGGCGCTAAAAAGTATGCAAGGAAGACTGCAGCCGTACATTCTGCCTCAGCTGTAGAAGGAGCCTGGGTTGCTTCCTTGGCAGAGTTGGCAGCTGCCCGCCTGGCATCGTCCTCCTGGCGCTGGCGCTGTTCTTCCATGGACACACGTAATGCCTGGAAAAGATCATACACACCACGGTTGATTTTTCGTTACTTCGAGGGCCCATGTTGGTGGCAAACATTTCCAAGGGGAGATATTACATTGTTACTACAGTACATGAGTCAGTACACTTCTTCAGGTCCACAGGTTTATGAAGGTAGTATCAGTATTAGATATGATCCGGTATCGATCTCAAGAGGCTGCTCAAGAAGCTGACAATTGCCAGAAAAAAAAAAAAAAACCACCATGCTGGTGTAACCAATGCTGATCGAGACAATAAATGAACTCATACATTTGTCGAAAATTCAGTGTTTGCTCTGTCACATGCTAAACAGCTTCGCTAGTCATCCATCTCCACAAAGTTGAAATGGCTCCTCACTTTAATGCAGCCAAAAATGTTGCACCTGGAGAACCTGCAGTGCTACTGTGGAAGTTACCATCATGTACAGTCGACTCTCGTTAATTCAAACTTGAAGGAACCTCTGAACTTTGTTTGAATTATCCAGAAGTTTGAATTATCAGAAGTTCCCAGATATATGAATGGGCAAGGTGATATCACACATCATGATTAGGCATTGATTTTATCCCATTTAAAAATTTTTAAAACACTTTTAAACCCTAACTGCATGATATGAATAGAAAGCAGAGGTGTAAGGTCCACAAGTTTATTGGCCATCTACTGTTGATCAAAAGTTCTAAAGAAATCTTGAATTGCCAACTGCTTCTTTGCTCTATGTGCAGTCAACACAAAGCTCTCTATACCTGTTGCGAATCATCACTGTTAAACATGCATGGGCTTTGTTCAAAAAGTTTGTTTACTAGCAAAGCCTTTTTACTGAAGGCCTGAGGCACTTACTTTTCATTTTCAGACTGTTAGACTAATAAAACCACACACATTTTTAAACAATAGTGGCAAACCAGCAGATATTTTTCGGTATTGAACTGCATAAAGTACATTGAAAGAATAAAGGGCGAACCAAAAAAAAAAAAGGAATTTTGTTTGAATTAACTAAAAGTGTGAATTATCAGTCTGAATAATCGCGAGTCTACTGTATTTTCAGTTGGACTTGCGACACTTTTCCACAAGAATAATACCACCATATTTACTTGTGAAATGTTCAAACTCCCCCCCCCCCCCCCCATATCAGCAAATATGATTTTTTTCCCCCTGAAGTAACTATTGGACCCCTGAAATTTGCAGCAAAAATGTCTGCTCTTTTCAACACCTGATAATGATAGCGCTCCACAGCCTGGCGCCATATCTTAAGCATCATGTGCACTATGAACGGCAAAGGAACCAGAGTCTTGGAAGAACGCTAACATCATCTTAATACATAAGAAAGGAGATGACAAGGACTTGAAAAATTACAGGCCGATCAGCTTGCTCTCTGTAGTTTACAAGGTATTTACAAAGGTAACTGCTAACAGAGTAAAGAAAACATTAGAATTCAATCAACCAAAGGAACAAGCAAGATTTCGATTAGGCTACTCAACAATCGACCACATTCATACTATCAATCAGGTAATAGAGAAATTCTCAGAATATAACCAACCACTATACATAGCCTTCATAGATTATGAGAAGGCGTTTGATTCAGTAGAAATATCAGCCGCCATGCAGACACTGCGGAATCAGGGCGTCGATGAAGTATATGTTAACATCCTGGAAGAAATTTACAGGGGATCAACTGCTACCATAGTGCTTTATAAAGAAAGCAACAGAATACCTATCAAGAAGGGTGTAAGGCAGGGGGACGCAATCTCCCCAATGCTATTTACCACGTGCTTACAGGAGGTTTTCAGAAGCCTTGAATGGGAATAGTTAGGGATAAGAGTTAATGGGGAGTACCTTAGTAACCTGCGCTTCGCCGATGACATTGCATTGCTGAGTAACTCAGGGGATGAATTGCAACTCATGATTACGGAGTTAGACAAGGAGAGCAGAAAGGTGGGTCTTAAAATTAATCTGCAGAAAACGAAAGTAATATACAACAACCTCGGAAGAGAGCAGCGCTTCGAGATAGGTAATAGTGCACTTCAAATTGTAAAAGACTATGCCTACTTAGGGCAGGTAATAACCGCGGAGCCGAACCACGAGATTGAAGTAACTAGAAAAATAAGAATGGGGTGGAGCACATTTGGCAAGCACTCTCAAATTATGACAGGTAGATTGCCACTATCCCTCAAGAGGAAGGTATATAACAGCTGTATCTTGCAGGTACTTAGCTACGGAGCAGAAACCTGGAGACTTGCAAAGAGGAGGGTTCAGCTTAAATTGAGAACGACGCAGCGAGAAATGGAAAGAAAAATGGTAGGTGTAACCTTAAGAGACAAGAAGAGAGCAGAGTGGATTAGGGAACAAACAGGTGTTAAGGATATCATAGTTGAAATCAAGAAGAGGAAACGGACATGGGCCGGGCATGTAGCGCATAGACAGGATAACCGCTGGTCATTAAGGGTAACTAACTGGATTCCCAGAGAAGGCAAGCGGGTTAGGGGGAGACAGAACGTTAGGTGGGCAGATGAGATTAGGAAGTTTGTGGGTATAAATTGGCAGCAGCAAGCGCAAGACCGGGTTAACTGGCGGAACATGGTAGAGGCCTTTTTCCTGTAGTGGACGTAGTCAGGCTGATGATGATGATGCACTATGAACACACTAGTTTCCATCTAATCCAAGCCAAGCCAAAGTGGCAAGTGTGTTACGGTCCCTAGAATATACTGGCTACTCTACCATCTCCGTGCCGTCCTCATGCAAGGCCGCGTCCGTGCCGCTGATGAATGCGCAGGGGGCGCTGCAGTCTACCGTAGCGCGTTCGTGGCGCATTCGTGTAGGCTGCGCAGGCAGCAATTGGCGGCGCACCATGCCTTTATTTCTGTACTCCTGGATGAACTTCTCATTTTGTTTGTATTTGAGTGGGCGGACACTGAACAGTCTTTAACCGACCAAACGTTACACCCAACGTTATTTCTCTTCGGGGCACTGATGCGATCACAGTGGCAGAACCAGCCACTCATTGAACAGGATGCGATTGAATAAAATCAAAAAGGGCAGAATATTAAACTTTAAAAGCTGTCATCATAGTATAAATCCTGTCAACTTGTTCTTACAAACGTATGAATTATTTGCAAGCTCAGTTTTCCTGCCCGTACGTAAACATTTCTGAGAATGAAAACATCGTACCACATTTACTGCGCAAGGTCTCTGAAAAATAAAGATTTGGAGGCGCAACAAGTTTCCCAGTTCGAGCGCCTATCCAAGACCCGCCCAGGCCGACACCTACTCGAAAAACTCGGCATCACGTACCATACGCAGCACGGCATCAAAGTCGAAATTCCAAGATCGGTGCGCGAGCAAGTATACGTACCCCTATTGCCTCGCAACATGCACCCCCAACACCATACAGGACGGCGTAAAGCCAGGGCACAACGCATTACTCAAAGCTACTCCAACGACACTGAAGCGGTTTTCGCTAATGCCGCGCGTTATACCAATAAAAATAGTTTCGTGGCGGTAGTTACCGGCCATCGCGGGAAATACATCAACAAGCCTCACTGTGAACACGGCACACGCTGAAGCGGCACAGGAAGCGGCTACAGCACTGGCCCTTACACAGACCAATGCCACACACGTGATTAGTGATTCGCAAACAGCAATTCGCAATTTTGCCAACGGACGCATCTCGCAAGAGGCGTTTCACATACTCCAACGACATCCCATACATCCAGAAGAGGTCGACTTCGATAACTGAAGGCACCTGTTATGGATCCCGGCACACACCGAACTGAGCACCCCCCAACGAAGCGGTTCATCGCGTTGCTCGAGGCCTCACTCACCGAGCATCGCCGGAGGACGACGAGCCCCCGCCGGGAACTGCAGACATCTGGGCATGGGAGGATCGTATGACCAGGTTTCACGACATCACCACACATTACCAGTTACAAAGAGGCATATACTCATCCCCTCACGAAAGGCTAAACAGAACGCAAGCGGTACACTTCAGACAATTACAAACAGATTCATACAGAAACCCCAGACTCATGCACGCCATGTATCCAGACATATACACTACAAACAGATGCAAGTCATGTGGCGAGGTTGCCACCCTTAGTCACATGCTGTGGGAGTGTCAGGGCCTAATAAACAATTCGAACAGTGCCGATTCGTCTCGCTCTTCCACCGCCAGCCTCCGCTCGCGTTGGAAGGCCGCACTACTCAGCTCGAACCTGACAGCACAACTCTGGGCCGTGCAGCATGCTGAGGAAGCCGCTTTTTCGAGACAAGGTCTCGGAACCGCATCCGCGGTGGGTGCCCAGGCCCACTAAAAAAACGCCGGACTCGAATTTTCTGGATTCGACAAATAAAGTTTATGTTCTTCTTCTCAGTACGTCACAGAGAAAATAAACGCAACGATATTTTCAGAATGAGAGGGGAAATTCTTAATACACGTTAGTATGCTTCAGTTAAGGTTTTATTTTTTTTATGCACAGTTGGCAAAGTTCATAATATTTCGTTCAAATGACATTATTTGCGCCCAGACAACATAATGACGGGAGAAATAAGTTGTTCCTCAAACTTTAACATAAGAACAGTCGAACAAAATGCTATCAAAAGCATATGTGTATCATCCTCTCATGCCATCAGAAGCATAGTACTGCTCTTGTGATTCGTGTCATTCCTATTTTCTGCTTTCTTCCCCATGTGCATTTGTCCTTTAAAACTGTTGAAGGCTGCAGGAATAACTGCGAAATAGGTGCAGAGTGGGCATTATTTGCAAAAACGGTGGATTTTTATTTAAATCTTTTCAGTCATACACAACACAACTGCACATGATTTTTTCTTTATCACTGTTTCACGTGCTCACGAAAGGCACATTCGAAGCACAATAAAAAAAGGCTTAACAAGGTGTGCCACTAAATGTCATCGATCGACCGCTCACCCACCTCACTTGTCTCACACTGCAATTATTTCTTTGCTTTGCGACGTTCAATTTTATTGAAGTATATGGACCTTTTA